CGCGCCGCTCACATGGGATGCTCGTTACAGCCGCGAGTTCATCGCACGGCGGCGACGGCTATTGTTCCTTCACTTCCTCTTGTTATTTCCCCTCTCCGCAGATGGGGAGATCACTTCCAAGCCTATGGTGCTATTCCTGGGACCGTGGAGCGTCGGCAAATCTTCCATGATAAACTACCTCCTGGGGCTGGACAACACTCCCTACCAGCTCTACACAGGTACCGCACTCACTGCTTTGCCAAGGGGGTGCCGACAGCTGCATTTGCACATCCCTGCAGTCAGCAATTCCAGCCGTGTGTCTTCAATCCCTCCTTACAGCCGGGAGGTTGGGATCTGCTCCATGACACCTGGCTGTGGTGCCATGGAGGGAGAGGTTCCCCATCACAGCCTGTCCACCCTTCCAAGGGTGGAGGAGAGCATCTCTCCCACAACATCCTCATCCCGCAGCACAGGGCTCACAGCTCCCAATGCCAAACCTGTGAGCAGCAGTCATGTCAAAAGGGCAGCTCAAAAGGACTTTCTCTTCTCCCCATCCCTCCTCATGTGCAGCCAGCTAATTCGCCCTCCCAGGAGAAATGCCATTCCCCCTCGTTCCTTCCTGCTCCCACGGATGCCATCTCACAGCTAAGAGCAAGTGTCCATGGCCAGATCCGTGCTGTGGTAATGAGAGCTCCCAGGAGATGGTTCTCCATGACACCTTGTGCAGTCAGGCCACTTCCAGAGAAACCAGTCCCTATAGAAAACAACCCCATGACGTCTTCCCAAGAAGTCAGGGCAGGAATTTCATGCTGTTTGCCTTGCCCCTGAATCTCTTGAGAAGCACTCGATGCTCTCCATGCTCCCAGTCTCAGGCCAGCCCCGTGGTGTCCATAGCCTGGCATGGATTTCATGCCTCTGCTGCTCCTCTCGTTGCTGTGCAGGGGCAGAGCCCACCACCTCCGAGTTCACTGTCATCATGCACGGCCCCAAGCTGAAGACCATCGAGGGCATCGTGATGGCTGCTGACAGCGCCCGCTCCTTCTCGCCCCTGGAGAAGTTTGGGCAGAACTTCTTGGAGAAGCTGATTGGCATTGAGGTCCCCCACAAACTGCTGGAGCGAGTCACCTTCGTGGACACGCCGGGCATCATTGAAAACCGCAAGCAGCAAGAAAGAGGTAGGGGTTCACTGGGTTCATCTAAGGGACCCCAGAAAAGATGCTATGATGATCTGAGGTGACAAAGGTGGCTGAAGCACAATGGAGTCCTGACAAAGCACAGTCTGCCCAGGACAGTGGTGGAGTCACCATCCCTTGGGGGGATTTAAAAGATGTATGGATGTGGCACTTGGGGACATGGTTTACTGGTGGCCATGGCAGTGCTGGGGGAATCGTTGGACTCAGTGATCTTAGAGGACCTTCCCAACCATAATGATTCTCTGATCCTGTGATTCAGTATCTGCTCACAGGAACATCAGGAACCTGTGGTCAGGAGCAGGGAGGAGGAGGGTCTGGAGATAAGGGTGATAGAGACAGGCAGTCACAGGCCCAGACACCCATGAATGGCTTTTTGTGCCAAGAAGCTCCAAAGTGTTTTTAGCATGTGAGAAAAAGGCTCTAGGCTACAGGGGAAGTCTGCTGGTCCTCACAACCCATGCAGCCAAATGGGGACTGAGGCACAGCAGGCTCACAGTTTATCAATCCCTTGATGAAGGCACTCATCCTGCGTTGGATTTCTCTGTTTCCTCTCCTCAAGGTTACCCATTCAACGATGTGTGCCAGTGGTTCATCGACAGAGCCGATCTCATCTTTGTTGTCTTTGACCCCACAAAGCTGGATGTGGGCTTGGAGCTGGAGATGCTGTTTCGTCAGCTGAAGGGCCGTGAGTCTCAGATCCGAATCATCCTGAACAAAGCTGACAGCCTGGCTACCCAGGAGCTGATGAGAGTCTATGGTGCCTTGTTCTGGAGCTTGGCTCCTCTCATCAATGTCACAGAGCCACCCAGGGTGTACGTTAGCTCCTTCTGGCCCCATGACTACCATCCAGAAACCCACAGAGACCTGTTCCTCAAAGAAGAGATATCGCTCCTGGAAGATCTCAACCAGGTGATTGAGAACAGGATGGAGAACAAGATTGCCTTCATCCGCCAGCACGCCATCCGGGTGCGCATCCACGCCCTGCTGGTCGATCGCTATCTCCAGACCTACAAGGACAAAATGACCTTCTTTAGCGATGGAGAACTGGTGTTCAGGGACATTGTGGAAGATCCTGACAGGTTCTATATCTTTAAATCCATTCTGGCAAAGACCAATGTCAGCAAATTTGACCTCCCCAACCGCGAGGCTTACAAGGACTTCTTTGGCATCAATCCCATCACCAGTTTTAAGCTGCTATCTCAGCAGTGTTCCTACATGGGAGGGTGTTTCCTAGAGAAGATCGAGAAGGCCATCACCCGTGAGCTTCCCGATCTCTTGGGAAGCATCGGCTTGGGGAAGAAGCCCAATGTCCTCTCCTGCGACGTCACTGGCTGCGGCGAAACCCCAAAGAATCGCTACAGGAAGCCCTAAGGTGATCCACAACCCAACTGTCCACATGTTCCTACTGGTGAATGAGCTTATGTCTTATCTGTCCAAGAAGCCATGGTTTGTTAACCCTTTGAGTGCCGCGCTGGCAAAGGCTACCGTATTGATGAGGACTTTTGAGTCATTGACGTCGATGGCAGGGGAAGATGGGTGGGCATAAGGAAGAGAATAAAAACTGTGAATTCCTGACATTTTATCTTTGTTCTTTTGAGTAGAAGGCAATGTTTAAGCTGTAAGTATGAGCAATGCATGGGCAGGACTGCAGCTGCTTTTCCACTGGTGCCAAGAGTGCGTGAAGAGGAATTTCAGCCTCTGCATCCCTGAAGCCATGAGGGAATGAGAACAAGGGCACAGCTTGAGAACACAGGGGAGAGCAGTGACACACTAACCCAGGCATCACCGGGAGCACTGGTCAAGGAAAGAGAAGCCATGTCCCAGCTGTTGTTTTCAGGCACAAACCTGCTACAAATCTCAGCAAATATTGATCTTGTTTTTATTTCTGAGACCTCTAGGTCACCTGGTGAGTTCTGTTTTCACTTGACAGCTCAGTTGATTTTCTGCAGCCTTCATGGGGGTGTTTGACTTAAGAAGGAGCATTTGAAGGGACACTTGTAGCTCCAGACAGGCAGCTGTGATGGGATTTGCAAGTCCATGGCAAAGGAAGAAATGGAGTGGAAAGGAGCAGCCATCACTGGCTGAGCTGTGCTGGAGGAGGAGGGCCAGCACCCCAAACCAGATGGTCCCACAAGGAGATGTGAACAGGGTTTCCTTCCCTGGACCAGCACAGAAGAAGGCACTTCATGCCTATGTGTGTCATTAACCTCAAAACCCATGCTAGCAAGTCTTGTCTTTAGACCAGCAGGGCTCCAAGGTTGCGGGTTTGGCAGTTTGCCTTTGTTCAAGTCCATGTTGCTCTTTTCTCAGTTAGCCCTCCGTGGTTTTGTGCTCTGTGGAGGGAGGCAGGAAGGGGGGTCATTAAGCTGTGAAGTTAAAAAGGTCACATCCCTTTTGCCTACCTGCTGATCTGTCCTCCCCAGGACAGTCCAGGCAGGTTTCTGGGGATTGCTTTCCAAACTCCTCCCTTTTTAGCCATTTGTTGGCTCGTCTCTGAGCATCAGTGCTCAGTCCTGAAGGAGTATTGCTTTGGAAGCACCCGAGCAGGGTGAAGTTCCCCATGGACATCTGACCTTGAAACTTGGCCCTCATGGACAGCATTGCTGTCTGCCAAGCTGAGCCCAAACCAACCAGGTGATAGTTGTCATCCTGGATGGAAAACCGGCACCTTCAAACCCACCAAGAACCTGCTGAAAGCCCTTCCTCCTGCCAAACACCCACAGCAAGCACTGCTCTCCAGGAAACCTCTGGAGAAAAGGGACAGAAGCAAGAGGACATGGAGATGCTGGCTAAAGCAAGAAAAAGGCAAAAGGAATGAAAGAGGGAAAGAGAAAGCTGGGAATGGAAGCCTGCGTTGTGATGGGGAGGGTGTGAAGGGCATCTCCACATGTGCAACAGGAAGTGAGCTAAGGCAGGAGGCCTGGGAGAGCTCCGTGTCCCCCAGACACTGCAATGAAGAGGTGCTCTTGAGTCCAGGTGAGTTTGAGGGGATGCTGCTGCAGGGACCTGAATGTTCCTGGCCTCTGCTTCGAGGTAGGACTTGACATTTGAACTAATGAAGCCGAGACTGAAATCTACGTCCAAGCACAGGGCAGGGCGTGGTTCAGGAAGAGGGATTTTGCCTGCAGTGCAGAGGGAGCAGAGGTGCAAGGGAAGGCAAGCAGTGCCAGGGAGAGCAGCACCCAGAGCAGTGTGGAGAGAAGGGATGTGCTTGTGAGTCTCAAACCTGCTCCATTGCTGCTGCCCCTCTGCTGCAATTCCTTCTTTCTTGTCCGTGATCCCGTTGCTCATCAGTTTTCCTCTCCATCTGTCGTTCACTCTCCTCTGTCACACTGGTCTGCATGGTTTTTTAAGAGCTAATGGAATAGAATCACCAAGAGAAACTGGCTGATGTTGTCACTGTTCCTGCTATCACACTGTGTGTCATTGTCACAGAAAGCAAAGGCCTTTAAACATTTCTGTTTGCAAGCACTGTATTGCACCATCTCTTTCCTAGTTCCTCTGTCACCCTAAAGCCCATGGGGTACCCAGGGAAAGGCCCCCTGCCCCACAAGAAGTATTGACCTTGAAGGCACTGAAGTGCTCTCAGGCCACTCCCATCGTTCTCTCCACCCTTTCTCTGGTTTCCTTTTGCTTTATTTTCCAGTCCTCATTGCCTCCTCTCCTCCCTTCCGCTTCCCTGCAGCACCTGCACGCCCTGTGCAAAGCCCTGGTGCCTGTGTGCGGGATGGGCTCCTCCGTGACAGCCAAAACCCTTTCCCCCCAATATGGCTCTTTTGGGTTTTCCTTCCAAAGCCCTGGCACTGGGGGTCTGTTCCCTGTGGCACACACTGACCCAGCTCCGTGCTGCCTCAGGGAGAAGCCACCACTGAGATGCCTCCTCTCCCACAGATCCAGGTGGCTGTCAGTCCCAAGAGGATTGCAGTTCCCTGCCCAGTTCTCACTGAGCTTTCTCAGGAGACCTCTGGGAATCTGGGAGTGGAAAAATGGGGAGCAGGGAGACATTTTCATTCTGCTGAGAAACTCAAAGCCCCTCAGAATTTGGGGGAGTGGAACATCTTGCCTAAGAGCTTCATGGGAGGGAGGGAGCTGGGACACAGGCCCTGTAGATGCCCGTGATCATGTGCATTGGGATAAAACTGTCAGCTTGAACATCAGCCTGTCTAATAAAACCTGATATTTTCCAAACACACTCCCTGGAGATGCTTGTTTTGTTTCTCCTGCTGGTGTGGGAGAGAGCACTGGGACTGGGGTGGATGAGGGGGTGTAGCTGCAGGGAGCAAGGTAGGAACTCCCATCTCCTTCCCTGCACCCCAGCTTTGGCCTCTGTCCCTTGCACAGGACCTGCCAGCCATGCCTGAGTCATTTGGCTGCTTTTCCAACTTGTCTCCTTATGCCATACAGGCAAAGCAAACCCCAACTTTGTGCCTCAGGGCAGTGTGATCCTCCCTGGTGAGACAGATCCCACCTGCCTCAGCACATGCTGTCAGGGCACCATGACAGAAGGCAGGGGTCAGGGACCATGGAGGAGAACCCAGGACTGGGGGTCACAGCAGAGGGCAGGGTTGGGGATCATGGAGGGAGGCAGGGATTTGAGGAACTTGGACGAGGACAGAGGGGTTGGGATTCCAGCAGAGGGCAGGAGGTCAGGTACCATGGAGGAAAGAGGGAGGTTTGTCCTTCTCCATGGATGTCTCCCTGCTCCCCATTTTTCCTCCATAGAGGAGGACAAAGGGGTTGGGGACCATAGAGGAAGGCAGGGATTTGGGGACCACAAAGGAGGCCAGGAGTGCAATACCATAGAGGAGGACAGGGGCTGGGGACCATGGAGGAAGGCAGGGATTTGGGGACCATGGAGGAGGGCAGGGATTTGGGAACCATGGAAGAGGGCAGGGATTTGGGAACCATGGAAGAGGGCAGGAGTGCAATACCATAGAGGAGGACAGGGTGCCATCAAGGGGCTGGGGACCATGGAGGAGGACAAAGGGGTGGGGGATTACAATGTACAGCAGGGGCTCTGAGCAGCCACCCAGCAAGGGGTGGATGGAGATACCTTCCCACCGGCGACTGGGGCTCATGCAAACTGCTCATTATAACCCTATTCCCAGCCTGTCTGTCTGTCTTTCTTTCCAACTATCTGTCTCACTTACTAATCAAAGAAGATTGTTCCAAGAAAGCTGGAAGAAGAGAAGGAATGTCTCATTTGGCTGTGGCTTCCTTTGGAAAGTCTGGAAAAACTGTGGCATCTCGACGTGCATGAAGGTCTGCCTGGCGAGAAGCACATTTTCCTTCCAAAGCTGCTGTAAAGATGTGAATCATGAGCCGGTAACGCTCCTGGCAGAGCAAACCCCAATTCCACTGAGACATGGTGCTGGCAGTGGCTCTGCTGTATCTCTTGGACGGAAAAGACAAACATTTATCATAGTGACATTGCTGGGGAAGAGCTGCCGGTGCTGCCGAGAGCCTGGCGGCGGCCGGATCCTGCCAGCTCCCAGGGTGCTCCCACCAAGGTTTCCAGAGTTCTCCTGAAGCTCCTCACACACCAGCCAAGGGGTTTACAGTCCCTTTTGGTTGTCCTCCACCACTTCAGCCCCTCGGTGGCATCATGAAAATATCCCACACCCAATCATCATAAAAAGAATAAAAGCTTTTGGAAAGGTCTGCTGGGAGCTGAGGGGAGCCCTGGTGCTCTGCCTGCTGCACACTGGAGGTCCCCACCCAGTCTGTTTTCTGCTGTTCCCATGCATCCAATGCTGGGCCCAAACTCCTTCCAAACCTTATCCCCCAAAACTCCCTGAGCTGCAATTGCAACATTTTTATGAAGCCACTCACTCTCTGTCCAGGTGGTGTCAAAAATCTGCCCACCCAGTTGTCCATCACAGAGCTGGGGATGTCACTCTCCCTGCAGGCAGCAGATGCCTGACTGGTTCCAGCTGCCATTTACAGCTCCTGGAGCAAACAACCCCCCCTTTCATGTAAGTACCCTCCTTTTTGGGTCTGTGGAACTTCCTGCGGCCCCAAAAGCACCCTGGCTTGCACAGACCCTACAGCTCTTTGGCATCCCTTCCCAGGACAGGGTCTAGGCTTAGGCTTGGAGTTGGAGGAGTTTCAACATTAAGTACAGGACATGTCAGATAGACACCTCCTGCCTCAAACCAGAGCACTGAGATCAGTTTGTGTCTGTGGAGAAACCCAAAATCAACACATTTTACCCAAAATGTGCAGGACACAACCAGGAAGGCAAGTAAAGCCATGTCCTGAAGAGTGTGCAGGGGCTTTGGGAACACTTCCCTCAGCTGACACAAATGGAATCACGGATTGGAGAAGCCATCTAAGATCATCAAACCCAGCTGTTAATCCCAAACTGCCAAGGCCACCACCAAACCATGTCCCCGAGTGCCACATGCACACATCTCCATGGGAGGTGGATTTGCAGACTGCAAAGGGGTTCAGACCCAGAACTCGGGTTTGCATGTGAGGTTGGCGTTTCCTGGAGGACACAGGCGAAGGAAGGGGAGCAAGCCTGCTTCTGGAGCTGCCTGCCTTGGAAAAAGGAGTGTCCAAAAGGACTGTCTGCTTGAGGGAGATGGGAAAAGCCTGGATATTGGCCCCAAGGGATCACCACTTGCTTTAGTATACTTACATCATATTCAGGGCGAGCATCAGAGAAGCCAAGGCATCCTGGAGCCCTGGGATGGGGATTTCACTCCATGAGGCGTCCAGCAAATGCCCCCCCTGAAAAACTGGGGGGTGGTGGGTGGTGGGCCAGGGCTTGGGGGTACCTCTAAGCAGAGCAGAGGCAGAGGGATGACAGGGTGCTCACACACTGCTGTCCCTCACCAGGAGCTGCTGCAGCCCAGGCACCAATTTGGTGAATTCCCAGCAGTTGTTCTACAGATGCCCAGCATGGACTGGAGCATTTGGCTCCTCCTTCTCTAACATGTTCATTAGTGGTCATTTAATTACAGGATGCAAAGATGAGCTGTTCCAAAATACTCATGTACCTGTGCAAAACTTGCAATGAGCAATTAGTGCTGCTAATGAGAGAGCGAGTCACCATATCGACAACAGGATAAATCCATCAGCCTCCTGGCAAACCTGCAATCCACCCTAACCCACATGGACTGCCCTGATCTGGAATTATCCCAGTAGCCTTTTGGGGCAGGAGGAGGGAAAATGGAATGTGGGTGAGATGGTGGCAAGTGGCAAATTCCTACCCATGGGAGAGACAAGAGGTGTCCAAAACCACCTGTGTTCTCTTGGTGGGAATGGGAAGAGGGTGCTGGTGCCACCACCACTTCAACTCCAGACCAAAATCCAGCAGCACAGGAAAGGCCCTTGCTTCCTGGTGACTTTCCAGTGCCATTGGCCTGGGGATGGAGGTTGGTGGGGCTGACCATGCAAACTGAGCACTCCCAGGCAGGGAATGTGGCGGCTGCTTCCCGGTGATTAATTGTTGTTAATATTAAATTCAGCACTTTTATGCAGGACACAGAAGGGCTTAGGCAGAAGCCCAGCTCCCATCCTACCTGTTATTAAAAAACATTGCAATTAAGCTCTTCTGGAAGGAAATACAAGTAAATGCATCCTCTGCAAGTGGCTTCAGCTTTCCACAGACATCTGTGTCCCCTGTTTCCTCTTCGGCTGGCTGAGCTGCTGCTGTTTTCCCTCTTCCCATGACCCATAAATTGCTTTTTCTCCTTAATCCTGCCCACAGCTCCCAAAGGTGAGGGCTGGAGAGGGAAGGAAAGGAGCCCCAGCTGCCTCTGACCCATTGCCACCAGTGGAAAGTTCATGTCAGCTGCAGCTGCAGCCCCAGCCCCAGCCAAAATCAAGGCTCTGCTCTGGGTATCTGCTCACCTAGTTGGACCTGATGCTCTCTTTGGTCCTCTCCATGGGCAGAAATCCAAATGCTTCAGCAAGAGGAAGGGGTGCTACTGCTCCAATATAAAGCATTGAATAAATTATTTCCACTCTGCAGCAGATCTGGATGGGATTTTCAGCAGTGAGACGTGTTTAGGTAAATGGTGACAGACTCAGCCAAATGCTCCAGCAGAGCCAGCCCGGCTTCCAACCCTGAAAGGCTTGGCACGGCCACAGCTCTGTGGCAGAGCTGTGCCCACAAGCACAATCACGGCAAAGCTGAACAGGCTGGGGGGCTATTGCATCCCAGAACAGGGTTTTCCCATGGCATTTTCCCCATTTTACTCCAGCTGTGGTTCTTTACCTGGGAAAGGATGAGGCAGGATGTCAGAGGTGGGACATGGGGCAGGTGGTGATGGGTCAGCCTGCTCTAGGACACCTAGAGCAACTGTGGTGGCAGGGCCTGAAGGGACAACTTCTTCTGCCTCACCCCAGTGACCAACAGGACTGGGACGCAGCCAGAAATTGTGGTTAAAGCTTAGGGAATGCCAGGAGAGGCAGGTGGGAGTGACAGCCACTTACAGCCAGGTCTGCCAGGTCATTGTGTGGCCAGAATCCCCATCAGGTCCTTAAAGCCTGGGAAAAGGCAAAAAAACAAGATAAGACTTAGGGCAACAGAGCTGGAGATAAAAAGGGCCAGCAAGATAAAAATAAACCTGGTGTCAAGGACAATACCAGTGCCAGGAATAATACATTGAAAATATTGGACCTGGGGGGGATAAAGATCATGTGAAAGGTGTCCTGAGTGCTAAAGCTGGCTCTCCAGAGCTACAAAGGATGCTGGCAGAACCACAGAGGGTCAGGATGGATGGGCAGGGCAAAGGGGTACCAGGTGTGCCTAAATTTGGGCAGATCTGGGGCTCTGGCAGCAGGGCATGGCCAGCTGCAGGTCTGGGATGCAACGTGAGGATTGTGGTGCTGGGTGGCAGAGTGGTGACAACAGTGCCCACAGCAGCCTGAGGCTCTGGCCACACCCCTGGGCTCTGCTGATGCAGCTGAGGAGGGAAGGTTTCGCTGGGATCATGGTGCTGATGAACACAGGGTTTTTCCCCTGTTGCTTGCAAACATCGTCATCACGTACATAAACTCAAAATGCCAAAATGTGAGTCAGCCCAATGGCAGTTTGGCTCCTGCACCAACAGTCTGATAAATGGTGGAACCAGAGCTTGCAGAGGGGATTTATTCCTGTTTTGGGGGTTCCAAAAAGTGCTTTCATGGCAGGTACAATATACTGCTGAGATAAAAAAGAAAAAAAATCAAAATTAAAAA